GAGGGGGGCGGCCTGGACCAAAGGCTTCTGCATTCAGCTGGGAGTCCAGACGCCTGGGCTCCGGGCCCAAACTCTGCCTCTGACCTCGGGCATGTCACGTCCCCGCGCGGTGCCTCAGTTTCCCCTCCACACCATGTGTCTATTCAGCATATGAGCTCTTCGGGGTAGGGACTGCATCACAGGCAGGGTCAGTGCAGCGCCCGGCACGACGGGGCCCTGATCTCGGTCTGGGTCTGGGCAGCGCCTGGCACGACGGGGCCCTGATCTTGGTCAGGGTCTGGGCAGCGCCCGGCGCGACGGGGCCCTGATCTCGGTTGGGGTCTGGGCAGCGCCCGGCGCAACGGGGCCCTGATCTCGGTTGGGGTCTGGGCAGCACCCGGCGCGACGGGGCCCTGATCTTGGTTGGGGGCTGGGCAGCGCCCGGCACGACGGGGCCCTAATCTTGGTGGGGGTCTGGGCAGCGCCCGGCCCAATGGGGTTCTCAATCTCTTTTAGAGGCTTTAGCCTCTTCCCTGAGCAGGGGCCGCCCCGGTGCGCTGTAGCTAAGACGTTCCCCGGGGCTCTCACCGCCCCACCTGCTCCCGTTGCTGAAAAGCCCCATGTGCCGATTCCCTCGCCCCGCCCACATGACTCAGGCCGTCGCCCGTCCCCGAATGAATCCGTCTGAACTCGCGCGGTTCGCCTGGAAAAACCGGCCAGCTAGACAAGCTGTCAGTGATGGAGCCTCCACCCCGCCCCTCGGGGCCCTGGCCCCGGCCCCGTGGGTAACTCTCACCCTCGTCCAGCCGTGGGAAGAGCCCACGATTACCGAGTTGTTCCCCACGACCCTCCCCCCTCTCTGCGTTACCCGAAATCCACGGGGCTATTTGAGGCCTGGTCTACACTCCAGGGTTAGGTAGTGTGGACACTAACTCCCTCAGTGTCCACACTACGGCCGTGCTCCCGCCGCTGTCAGGGCCCCGCTACACCGAGATCATTACACCACCTCCGGCAGAGGCGCAGGCCGTATGTCGGTGCAGTTAGGGTGACGCCGTGTCCCTGTAGACCCTGCGTGACTTCCAGGGGCTGCCGGCTGCCCTTGTCCATTTCACAGCTCCCGGGCTGCGGCCGGGAAAGGGACGAGAAAGGCTGGTAGGTTCCCTGCTGTGAACCCCCAGGGCGGGTGGGAAGCTCCCTGCGGGGACCCCTGGGGTCCCGGCTCCCTGCTCCCAACCCGGCTGGCACCCACGCTCCCAGCTCCCCGTGGGAAGCCCAGCACCCGCCCGGGCTCCGGGCACTGACTCCCCACCAGGAGCCCGGGGGGGCAGCCTTAAGTTGGTGGGTTTGTCTCCTAACCCTTTCATCATCCCTGTGGCTCTTCTCTGCCCCCCCCCCCCCCCCGCTGCTGCGAAGGGCGAGCGTCCCTTCGTGTTTCACAGACGCGTCGGCCACCCGCTCCCAGATCCGCCTGGGCACGGAAGCGGCTGGGGGTAGGGCTGGATTTGGGGTGCTTTCCTGCAAGATGACCCCCTAAACCAGCCAGGCTGAAGGGTAGCGCAGCAGCTGCACCTTCCCACCACCAGGGGGAGCAGCGACCCTACTCAGTCCTCCCTCCCAAACCCCCCCCACCCCCCGCCCATGCTTGATTTTGCTGGTAAAAAGATAATTGATGCGATCCGTGGATCGGGGCCATTGGGGGCCCCCACGCTGAGCCCCTCGGGTAACCCAGCCGGAGAATGTCCCGGAGCTAGAGTCGCACTGGTAGGAAAACACCCATTCGCAATTAAACGAGGAACTGGGCCTGCTAGGTGGGATCAGACCTGGCCAAGGCCCATCTACCCCGGCATCCCGGCTCCACCTGCTCAGGGGAAGATGTAAGACCCCCTGCAGTAGCACCTGGGCGATAACCTGCCCCCTCATAGGTCGCACCGTGCGCTCTGCTAGAGTTCCCCTTCAGCCCTGGCACGTCACGGTACGAGGTTAATACCCCTTCCCGAATTGTCAGCAGCATTCCTGCCTCCTTTGGCTCGTTCCAGGGTCCGGCTCACCCTCCCAGCCCTCTTCCCGAGGCCCCGGTCTCAGCACCATCCAGTAGCAGTGAGTTCCACTGGCTAACCACGTGGGCATCATGCCTCGGATTGGATTTGAATTCGCCACCGCTCCCTGGCGCTGCCTGTCCCCCGAGCTCGCGTTACGTGGTGGAGCTTCCTCCAGCTCTAGCCCCGTCCTTTGATAGTCTGAGGTCCCACTTCAAGATCTCCTGGCGGAGGTAACTAAGCCCCATCTGTTCAAGCGCTCTGCAGGAGAGCCTGCTCGCCCTCTGAACCCCAATCCCTTCCCGGGGATGGGCTGAACAGCCCTGCCCCCGGGGACCAGGGGTGGCCGATCGCCCCAAAGGCATTAGAATGGGCTCCGAGATTTATTTTTAATTCTTGTTCTAAGTGTGTGAAGGCAAAATGCACCAGTGTAAGGGCTGGTTCCACCCACCAGGGCCAAGGCCTGGAACGACTCGCGGCCGGGAAAGGGTGCAGCCTGTAGGAGGTTTATTTTTCATGAATCCAGCAGGTCTTATACTGAAATGAGACGAGCTGATAGTGTGGCAATGGGAGCTGCTTTCCCCTGGGGCTCTGAAACTCCCCTCTCCACTGGCGGGGCTCATAATTAGCCGGAGAGCCCCTCCGGCGGGGGCGGGAGAACACTTAGCGGGGGGGGTGATGATGTTTCAGTTAAAATGGCAGGTCGGGAATTCAGGGCAGAAGCCACTTGGGGGAGGGACCTACCATAGCGCCCCAGAGCCCCAGTCATAAACCAGGACCCCATTGTGCTGGGTGAAGTACATGATTTATTAGATGCATTACGGTAGTGCCAGGAGCCCCAATCTCAGCCCAGGACCCCATTGTGCC